CATTTCCACTAAGCAGTAACTTGGTGCGGATGATACTGCTGATGGCGCGGCAACACGCGCCCCAAGACCGACAAGGATAACACTGTGTCCCAGCAAGACGCGGCGGGCCCTTGTACTTTGTGATGCCGTAAGCCGGGCGCCGCAAAGTTCTCCAAGTGGCGAACGTTTCTGGCGCTGGCTTCCCCCCAAAATACGGGGTGCTGAACCTTGGTGCCGCGATGGGGTGGCCGGCATCGCAAAGGGGGGTTGGGCTGCCAAATCTTGGGCCCCGAACGGCCCCCTGTTGAGTCGCGGCGGTCTCCGGCGTGCCGTTTTAAAAAAGAAATAACGCCGAAAAAGCGAACCCCCCTGAACCCCCGCTGCATACATCACGCGCGACGTGAGGCTTTCCAATTCCCCCACCGAGATCTTGCGGGGGGGTGTGGCGCCCTTTAATTTCCGTAACGTTTTCTCTCTGAGGGATGCCGTCTTAGTCGAATGGTTGAAACAAACCCCTTGTGAAGTCATAACGCGCGGCGGGGGCCTCGTGCTCTTCCACCGTTGCGGCGCATCCATGCATATTTTTCATCGCAATGTTCCCCCACAACTCTACACTTTTACGCGGCCCTGCGATACGAATATTATCCATTCAAACGTATAGACTTAGCTCCGGCGGGGCTGTGCAACGCGGTTTAACGGCTTCTGCGTCACCAGCCAAAACTGTTGTGATGGCATGCGCGATTTCCGGGCCGCGTTTACACCCCATGGGGGGCCATTGTGGACTCTTCCAGCTCACTCTTTTCCGTGCAATAACGTAAATTTTTGCGTGTTTTGTCTGGCAAGTCTACCTGGAAAAAAAGTGCTTTTAGATCGAAAATGGCAGCTGTATCATGACAAATCGCACCCAGGTGCTGGAAAATATACCCCAGAGGGACCATAACCTCATAGTCCTCTTGTTCTTTTTTTTAGCTTTTTGCAAGGCAATGAAACGCCGCTGCGGCCCCGACGGTTTTTCCTTCACGACCGTAAAAGGCACAAACCACCCGGTAGCGTGTAGCTTTGATGCGCTGTAAATAATACCCGCCTTCTTAATAACCTGGGCATCCCCTCCTGCCATCCTCAAGAGGGGCTCTCGTTCCCCCCTCCCCAAATTAGCTGGTTGTTGCACCAAGCCCCACACTGTGTTAAGCCGTTCCAGAGCCTTGGAATTGAGTCGGCTCCGGAACCAATGCAGGTAAAGAGTATTCGCACATACCTGCTGTAACGGTACCCTTCTTTTATCGTTCTTATCGGTCACCCGCGTGCGATGGGTACGTCGCAAAATGCTGTGCCCTTGAAAACGTTGTCCCCCATCATGCCCTCAATCCAGATAGGCCCAGGGAGGCATAGCCCATTTGCCGACCCCGTCTACACATGCGCCCTCAGGTGTGCCATCTTGTTTGCCGGGACCACCCAAGGCCCTATGTAGCGAGCCGCGCTGCGTAATAACTATAGGGGGTCTGCGCGTTTCCCCAACTGGGTCTGCAGTCGAGGAGCGGGGTTGTGTTCGATCACTGCTGAAGCTGCATGCGCCGGCACCCCCCTCTTTGTACGGAACGCGCTTTAATGCCGAATGGTCGGAGTACATTTTCCATGCCTCTTGTGGTTAAAGTTGTGGGCCGCTCCCCTCCGCCGCGCCCTTGGCAACGCCTATTGCCTTTTTTGGATCCCCCCACCCCTGATAACCACGCGCCGCGCCGCTCTGTGCGGGTCGATTTTGAATGTCTTTGGGAGGGCCCCCCAATCTACAATGAGGGTGTCCTTTTTTTTTGGGTGGGGAATGGCATTTTCCTTTTAGAGTAGAGCGATTTCGCCCCACCGACCGGCTGTGACCCTGGCGGGCCGCAGGGTAACCCGATCGTTTTTTAATGCCAACATATCGCTGATGAGATCCGATTCCCATCTCTCCATGGGGCGGGCCTGTTTTATGGGGCTTGCGGCCGTCTTTCGTCGAAGGCCGGCCCGAAATATCGGATCCGGTGATCTCCCTTAGGCCAGTAAGGTCAACAAAGTTCTTGTGTATTGCACCGCGCTGCTCTTGGCCAGTTGTAGACTTACAATAAAAAAAAGGAACATTTTCCTCCCGAACCTCGACATCGTTCCTTTTTGCAAAGTCGCAGAATCTTCGCATCATGGACACCCTTTGTTCCCAAGCCGAATGGGTCCACATACCCTTGGCGATGCGGTTCGCCTCGGGCGCCGGCGCTGTAAGATATGGGTTGTCTGACGGTGCCGCAATAACTGTAATCTCGTTCTCTGGAGTTTTTAAAGACAGAAGAACGTTTTACAGCAGATCCCTCCAAAGTGGGGGGTGCCCGTGGGGTCCGGCATGAAGGGATAATGTGCTGGCCTTTTCCCGCGGAGAATAGCCCGTTTTCCGGCTACCCGGCAGCACCCGAGCCACTCGGTAAAGATTCCAATACTTCCAAGGCCCCGGATTTCATTGCTTCCGGGGCCAATAATCGTTTTGGGGCTTAAACGGCGTCTTTTTCAACTACACATAGCATGTTGTGTTGTGGTGCTCTCTTCGGTCGAAATTTCCTCGTTGTGGATGGCATAAATCCATGCCACAAAATTGCCCTACGCCTGACCTAAATCAAATCCCGGTTTCATGAACAATGAAAAAAAGCCACGATACGCCGCCAGTAGCTGCTCTGTCGATACCACCCATAAATACCCTAGGGCGCTTTCAAAAGCCCGGATATTTTCTTCAGGTTGGAATCCATTTTCCACGAACTTATTTCTCAGCTCAAGAATTCCTCGCAATCCCACCTGGGGTTGGGCTCCCAGCGCGTTAAATGGCCGTTCGGCATCCCCGCCCATCGTGGCAGTATGTGTCACGGTGTGAACATCAGGTGGAAGATAGTCGTTTTCACCCTCTGTTGCACCCCGCTGCGCTGGCAGTGCCGTCTGTTTTTCAATTTGGACAAACCACGCCTCCATCTGATGGATCTGAGCTTGCATCTTGTTATTTTCATCGCGCAACTGGTTTTTATGCGATTCTAACGTGTTAATCTGTTGCGGCATTTGATTAATACGATCGTGGGATCCAACCGTTTGAGCGTAGGCGCCCTGTTGGATCTTTAAATTTTCTTCACCCAGTTGTGCCCTGCCAATTTCATACGGCTGATGCAGTATTGACCTGCTTTCCTCCAGCGCCATCCACTCTGTTCGGAAAGTCGCCCTGGCATCGTCAAATGCCTTGAGAAAGTTCTCGTTCTTTGCCATGTTTAACGACACCAAGGAGTGTCGCAAAGAAAAGAAACTGGTGTTTGTACCATTATCCAGGCAAATGGTAAGTTCACCGTTTTCAATTCCTAATGTGCCCTCAGCGCGATTGGCTTGCGTAGTGAAATTTAGTCTGTTCACAAAAGAAAATGGGGTCCGACCGCAATGTTCGACAAACGCCCTGAGAGCTTAAAGGCCCGCCAAACATTCCACGTCCATGGGGGCCTGCTGGGAAGTAGTGGATAACATTGTGATAGTTGTGATTTACTTTTTGTTTCAAAAAACTTACACTTCGCAACACTTTCCCACATCAAGAGATGAAGGCAGGAATGGTGATGGATTATAGGATTTCATGTTAAAAAATCGGTCAATACTTGACCATTCCTTTTGCAGGCTTTCAAAGAAAAGAAAATAATTAGCGCCTCGAATTGCAAGAATTAACCCAGGAAAACCTCCGTCCCATATGCGCAGCACCAAGGCCACCACGCCAAACGAACGGAATTCATACGAAAACACCTCTGTAACACCTTTCCGTTGACAAGCGCTTACCCAAAGGCTTCGCGAAGTTCTTCCCCTAACTTCGTCGCGGCACAACCGCGCTTTGAGCATGCCTTGCCAAAGGGCCAAATGTGCACCAATGTGGGGGGCTTTTTTTACCATGGGCGCCCTCCCCGTGGAAAGAAAATTCATGGGCGTCAAGCGGGGATTGGTTGGCGACGGCTTGGCGCGCGTCAGTGCCGTTTCCGGGCGAGCGCCACCTCGCTCCAACAGCCGGGCCAGGCGCGCAACCGTCTGTTGTGATGTGGCTTCCAATATCCCCAATTGTACCCGAGCTTCCCCTATCGCTGGCTGGCGTGCCGTCGAATCCGGCTGCAACCGGACGGGGGAAGCCTCAAACTGATTCACTGGGGTGGATGCCTTGTTTTGTCGCGCCATGAGGTGGCGGGTTGCTCTTCCGGAACAAAAACGGGAAAGGATGGAATCCGCATATTCACCATATGTGAAGAAACCGCGGGGTTTCCCCAAAAGTGGGGGCTGCTTGTGCAAAAATGAATGGGCCCGCGGGAAGGCGTTGCGCCGCCGCGCCGTGATCTTCCAGACCTTGGGGCGTCAACTAAGTAAAGTGGAGCTCTACATCGTCCTGCTGGCTCGCATATTTAAGCCACTTTAAATCTACCGCTTTTCATTCATCCTGCGTATAAGGCTCCGAAATTATCGCCCATATATTTGAAAAGGTCTTTTCTAAAAATGAGTTTAAAACGTGATAATATAATCGTTTCAGTGTAACCTAACAAAAAAGAAAAAAAATATTCACCATACAAAAGGCCCAATCACCTTCTATCTATAACTGAAACAGTGAAAACCAAGGGGCGCATACAATGAACAACGAAATGCCTTGAATAAATTAATGAGCAAACCCTCATCACACAGATTCTTTTTACGAGCTTCTAGAAAATAAATCTATCAGCATTTTCCATGGCGAATTAGTGTCTGCCCCAAAAGAGAAATATGCAGACGCAATGCCGGAAAAACGCATTGAGATGTTGACAAACATTTCCTTAATATATGGCATATTTTTACACAAGCGATGATAAGCTTCTAATAAATCGATGATTAGACTCCAGGTGCCGCAATCCTATATTTGTGGCGCTGGCGTGAAAAGATAATGAACTTGAAAACCTCACGTATTCCCACCGCCCCTACCCCTCCCAGATCAGTTTTTTGCCTAAACACGCCAGCGGGGGCAGTTAGACATCCCCTTTACCACCCAAAAACTCCAGAGAAGCTTGCAAGACCATTTCTAAAAAAAGGTAAAATACCAGATGTCAAGCCCCTACCGCTGACACCTGTGGGGGGGGGCAGAATCCCTGTATAAAAAGTTGCCTAGCTGCAGCGCCAAAGCGTGGATTCTGACAACCTGAAGGCCTCCCTTTCATTCGACTTGGTTTTTTTTTATAGTTATCTAACACCATTGTTGTGGAGTTTTAGGACTATTTTTTTGTTTAAGCTTCATCGTAGGCCATTGTTCTTGAATAGCAATCTGTTAGCGGAGTGTGTTGTAACCTGTTAAGTTTGGTTTTGCCAAATAAATTGAAAAAAGAGAATGCCCGTAGTTTATGCTGTATGATCGTGCCGCGTTCGTTTTTGGCCATGTTCGTACACTTAGACATCGATATATAAGAGATGGCGTTGCCAAAGCCTCTTGCCATTTTTTCTTTCGATCAAGGGCTGGCACATTACAGAGGGAAGGATAATTTTTTTTACCTTATGGTAACCTGGCAGCTTGGCTTAACTGAATAAAGCTGGAAAAAAGAATGATGCGTAGATTCACCCGCTTATTCAGATTCGAACTCTTCTAGACTCCTCTTGACGATATGATGCCAAGTAAAACTCTCGTTAAAAACAAATTATACCGTTAATGTACACTTGATATTTTTTTTCCCATTTTATACCAAATAGCCCACATCAGTTCTCTTTTTTAAGCGTGCCACCTAATCCAATTGCTTTGCGGTAACTCAAGAAGCGAGTCATTCTACACCCAGCGAGTTGCCGCCAAGCCCCGCGTGTGCATACTACTTGCGGACGCTGTGAAAACCCAATAAAGCCCAGCATCGCTACCGCTGACTCCCCATCGCATACTATTTATGAATGCTTTTGCTGATTGGCTTTCTTAGCGACCATCTGTCTCCCCACGCTTGCGCGCATGGAGCAAACAACTTCAAGGAAAAAGCATATTTGAGCCAAATCCCATATTCAACAACAAGATGTGATTTGTTCAGAGAGGTTTTGCTCCTTTTTGTTACTCCATAACCACCAGCCCTGGGAGAGCACCGCAGATTACCTAAGAAACAATGAGCTTCTGCAGCAAAGAGAAATTTGGAACTTTTATATTAACCAAATCCCATATATGGTGGCGTGAAGGAGCAGTCACGTCTCCCCAAACATAAAAACAGGATGGAAAAAATGCTCTTGGAAATGGCTTTCTGGAGGACTTGGCTCGAAGACAGTGACCTCTGGCTTATCTTCCCCAAAATAAAAAAGATCATAGCACACGATAAAAACTGCAGCTGCCCTAAAGGACTTTAGCGCTCTTTTTTTAATTCCCGCGCACACAAGAGCTGGCCAGCAGCAAAGCCAGATAATAGAAGGAAAGAATCTTTCACCGAGAGGAGTGCCCTATGATCGATTATGCCTGCTTCTTATGTTTGGAAAGACGTGCGCGTAACACCAAACTTCCTTGTGGTAGTAAATGTCCAAAAGCAGCAGCACCTTTTCATGCAGAGCCCCGCCTCAAAATAAACCCCACCGCTTTCCATTGATTTGTGCCTTTTTTCTTGCACCCCGGGTGCCCAACCCCAAAAGGCTTTCCAACAATCCCCGCAATACATTTTAGAGATGCATTAAAGAGCCAAAAAGCAAAACTCGCAAAAAAAAAACTTAAGTGGCTCGAAACATAGAAGCCCAAAAAACGCGGGGTTTTTTCTCTCGACGGGGCGCGGCTCAAGGTGTAACCGCATTTTTTTTGAGGAATGCATTCTCTCTTTTTGCACATGAGAACCTGTAATAATGCTTGATCAGTTTTTTCCCGTTTAACGCAGCAGTGGGTGAAGCAAGTCTTTTTCCCTCTTTCGCATGGCGTTCCTTTGTGTGGCTTTGGCTGGTTCTTGCGTCGCCTTGCTCAGTGCATTGTGACGCTTATGTTCCAGCCGAATATTTATTTTTCCACCATTACCGATGACCTTCTGACATATCATATAACGTAGTTTTGTCTGGCGGTTCCGCTTCGCGTGGTGACTGTTGTTGGGTGGTGCCTGGCATTGGTATGGAATAGGTGCCCCATTTTTTTTTAGGGCTTTGAATCCGCACCGTTTAAATTGGAAAGGTGAATCTTGAGCCTGCTCTTCAATTTCCCGCGTTCATTTGCGTTCCTCTTTTTAGGCATTTCAGGCGGCGAAGGCGGCCAAGGCGCCACGTTCGCCGACACCCCCTCGCGCTTCGCGCGGCGCCGCAAATAACTGGCAAGCAAATTCTCCCTGACGCTTCTTTGCGATCGCATTTAGGCCGGTTGCCATACCCGGTGATTTGGGCTTTGG